AAGTGCAAATGATAACAGGTTTCAGACTTAGTGAAATCAACACAAGTCTGGAATTTAACATCAGGAAGCACACCTTAGAGCATGAAAACTATATGCTACGGGAACTTAACATGGCAAAGCAAGGCATGGCATGAAGCTACTCAAAGCACTTAACAAAAGTCCCTTTGTTACCTTGAGCCAAAAGGGATCAGAAAATACAATTGCAAGCATGTGAACATGGCAAAAACATAATCAGATCTCAGACTTGGTGAAAAACTGGAGCATGCAAATCAGTTAACGAGTAGGCATGTCCACGAGCTCGATGCACTCACTACAGAGCATGGCATGACAAAATAAGCATACACCCATCGAGAATACATATCATAGAAGCTTGACATGGCAAGAACAACAACATAGCATGCACGGATCAATTAACAACATCCTCGGCAAAATCGCTAACAAGTCAACAATCTGTCAGGAATCATGAAATAGCAAAAGTAGAGCTCGTTTGACTCAAGCTAGGGTGCTCCATAAATGCAAACAAAGACATGGATGGATAGAGAAACACAATGTTAAAAAATCATCCTTACTGATCATCCTCAAAAGAGGCACGGATCACTAGGAAACAACATGAACATATGGCATCATGACAAAATCAAGACAAAGACTTGGTGAACTTCGAAGTCCCTGAAATCAGCATTATCGAATGCACTACTTTGCAAGCTTGTGCTAGTCACCACAAATATCACAAAAATACATGGTAAGCACCTATGTAAAGATGGCATGTCACATAACAAAACTCATGTAGAGCTCAGGAGCATATCATGCACACAATAATCATGGCAAAAATGACAAATATCTAATTGATGAAACAGATCTGGCAATTTTATCACATAGCCCTCTTCCAATAGCATTTCGGGCATCAAGATGAGCTCAGATGAAAATGATGCAATGAGATGAAATGATGTACTCTCTGAGACAAACATTTTGATATGCTACACGCACAAATCGGATCTACGATGAGAGAGTTATAGCATGCCAAAGTTTGGAAAAAGATTAGGGTTCGGGGGTAAAAAGGTCAACCGAGAAGTTTCAGATCCAGATCTGGATCCGGCCGGAACGAATCTCGAGGTTCGCCGCCGTTGCATTGTAGCTCGCCGGAGGGGACGAGCAGCGCGGTGGCCGGACTTCGCGGCGCTCGCCGGCGCGTGGGAGGGAGAGGCCGGACGGCGAGGTGGTGCGGCTCGGGCACCGCGCGGCCTCCACGGCGGCGAGGTAGGTGCTGCAGCGGAGTTCGGCGACGGTGGCGGCGGTCGGTGAGGGAGGCGGCGGCCGGAGTCGAGCTGGCGGGCGGCGGAGGCGGCCGACGAGGGGAGGGACGAAGGCGGCGCGGGCGGCAGCCTCTGGCCCGTGCGCCGGCGTGGGCGGGCCGGCCACGGGCCCGGCGGGCTTCGGCGATGTGGGTGCCGAGCGGGCGAATGGCGGCGTGCCACATGGCGGAGGCGGCGCGGGTCGGACGTGTCCGGCCCGGTGATTTTTGTCCGGCGGCGGAGAGGGAGCGTGGAAAGGGTTTAGGGTAGGAGGGGATCCGGGAATTTCGAGAGGGGATCTATATATAGGCATAGAGGGAGCTAGGAGGCTCCAAATGGAGTGTGGTTTTCGGCCACGCGATCATGATCGAACGCTCTAGGTTATGGAGAGGGTTTAGGTGGGTTTTGGGCCAAATTGGAAGGGTGTTGGGCTGCAACACACAAGAGGCCTTCTCGGTCCCTTGGTTAACCGTTGGAGTATCAAACGAAGTCCAAATGGCACGAAACTTGACAGGCGGTCTACCGGTAGTAAACCAAGGCCGCTTGGCAAGTCTCGGTCCAATCCGGAAATGTTTAACCCCCACACACGAAAATAGGTAGAAAGGGGCACCGGAGGAGATAGGAGCGCCGGAATGCAAAACGGACAACGGGGAAAATGCTCGGATGCATAAGACGAACACGTATGCAAATGCAATGCACATGATGACATGATATGAGATGCATGACAAAGGCAACAAATACACGGAGACAAAACCTGAACCGGAGGAAATAAAATAACTTAGTGCCGGAAACGACAAGAGTTGGGATACATATAAGGTAAATTACATCCGGGGTATTACATCGGTGTTCTTGGAGATCTATCCGATTTAATGCTCTTTTGTGGTGTGTTTGTCGAGATCCAATGAATTGTGGATTTATGCTCAGCTTATCTATGAATATTAATTGAATCTTCTCTGAATTTTTTTATGCATGTTTAATTCTCTTTGAATTATCGGTTTGGTTTGGCCAACTAGATTGGTTTTTCTTGCAATGGGAGAAGTGCTTAGCTTTGGGTTCCATTTTGCGGTGTCCTTTTCTAGTGACAGTAGGGGCAGCAAGTCACTTATTGTATTGTTGCCATCGAGGATAAAAATATAGGGTTTTCATCATATTGTTTGAGTTAATTCATCTACATCATGTCATCTTACTTAATGTGTTACTCTGTTCTTCATGAACTTAATACTTTAGATGCAGATAGGAGTCAGTCAATGTGTGGAGTAATAGTAGTAGATGCAGAATCATTTTGGTCTACTTAACACGGGCGTGATGACTATATTTCATAATCATTACCTTAGATATCGTCATAACTTTGCGCTTTTCTATTAATTGCTCGGTAGTAATTTGTTCACCCACCATATTATTTGCTACCATGAGAGAAGCCCCTAGTGAAACCTATGGCCCCCAGGTCTATTTTCTATCATACATGTTTCCGATCTACAATATTAGTTTCCGATCTACTATTTTTGCATTCTTTTACTTTTCGATCTATAAACCAAAAACCAAAAATATTTTCTTTATCGTTTGTTTAGTTTCATCTATCTCTATCAGATCTCACTTTTGCAAATAACCGTGAAGGGATTGACAACCCCTTTATCACGTTGGGTGCAAGTTGTTTGATTGTTTGTGCAGGTATTAGGTGATTTGTGCATTGTCTCCTACTGGATTGATACCTTGGTTCTCAAACCGAGGGAAATATTTATCTCTACTTTGCTGGATCGCCCTTTCCTCTTCAAGGGAAAAACCAACGTAAGCTCAAGAAGTAGCAGGCTGCAGTAGCGAGTTATATCGACCATGAGCTAATGATACAAGGCTTTTTACAAAATTGTGAGCCTCCATATTGGACATTCTGCATTCATGAATAATCCGGACCTCTTCAAACTCCTGACGACGGATGTTGATCTCATGTAGAATCTGGTTGTAGATAGCTTTACTTCCTCCATTAATCTGTTTAACTTCCGCTTCCGTGTCGCATGCAATAATAAGCCTTCGAAGGTTCAAATCGGCCGCGAGGGAAAAAGCCTCCAAACATGACATTGCTTCAAGCATTCCGGGGTCATCACAACTGTCAATGATGCATGCAGACGAGCCAAGGTAAACTCCTTGGGCGTCTCAGCACACGGCGGCTGCCGCACCCTTGCAACAGTTGTTCTTCGCTATTCCTCCATCTACATTAATTTTGACCATACCTTCCATTGAAGGGATCCACTTTGGCACCTGCACTGACAGTGGCATAGTTGTACCTTACTTCTGTGAAGCATCTGCGATGATGTCCAGGTCTGCTAGATATCTCATGATGAAACCATGAATTGCCTCCGGGCTCTGGAAGATCGATTTGTGGATTGCTTTCCATCTTGCGCTCCAAATTGCCCACAAAGTAATGATGGGCTTTGTGAATTTTGCATGTGGTAGCATTTCAAGCATGTGAAATAGCCATTCCTTCGCTTTTGGGCACGTTGTCATGCTCATATGCTCTGTAAGTGAGTCGTCGACGAGTGCCCACACGCATCTCGCCATGGTGCAGTCAAGTAATGAGTGTCGCCATGTGTCTTTCTCTGCACCACATAGTTCGCACCTTGCTGAAGTAGCCATCTTTCGATGGTACAACACTGCTCCTGACGGCATGGATCGCTGGGCTAGCCACCACACAAACACATGTATTTTTGACGGAACTTTAATCTTCCATAAGGTTGTCCACGCCTTCTCTGAGCGGCTCGAGCTTGAACTTGGCCTACCTTCTAACCAATCCTCTCGCAGTTTTTTCGTTGTAACCAAGATACGGTAACATGATCTTACCGAAAGTACTCCTGTTTTCTCATACCCACGGGCCAAGTATCTATCAGCATCAACCCCAAAAGTAGACCACCATATCTACATGTGGGCGTAAGCTGTTTTCTTTAGACTAGCCACAGTGAGAGTAACTTCAGCAGTAACTTCAAGTCCAACTCAGCAAATTTGTCTATGTGGCAATGAGTTAATGAAGAGAGAGGTAGTTCTAGTAACTTAGCTAATACTGTAATATCACATGTCTCAATGCAGTATGAGTCTATAACCTAATAAATGGAGTTTTACATGACACCACACCTATGTTACTACCCACTATGAAGGATTGAAGGTAATAATATAGTCTAGGGATATGTGTATGTTATTAATCTTAGAGGAAGTGGGCTTAAGTTGTTGCTAGTAAAAAAATCTTATAACAAGGAAGTTTTTCTTGGCCCAGTTATTATTAAACGGAAAATCATGTATCAAGGTTTGAGACAAATCTACGAATTGGATTTCAAAATCAAAAATCATCTCTCTATGAAACTTTTGTCTGTGTAACCTGTCTATCAATGGAGTATTCTCATTTGGCGATGAATTCAATGATATATTTGAGGGCATATAATATATGTTTAACTAAAAACGCGTGTCTGGATAGAGTAGTAGCAACAATAGTAAACAGTTTAAAACCAACTGCAGCGTCTCTCCATAGAGTATTAATTAGATCATTTATTGTTTCACCGAGGATGAATTAATAACACGTCAGTGAAATAACATTGGCCAGTCGAACTGGCTTTGCGTGAGTTAATAACACGTCTGTGAAATAACATTGGCCGGTCGAACTGGCTTTGCGTGAGCTGCAGTCTGTAGATTGCTGATGAATGCGTCGGCGAAAGGGCAACAGCAGTACTGTCACGCAGATACACCATCGCCGCCAAATGCGTCCTCAAGGAATTCACCTTGATCGAGATGGCCGACGTCGCCGGCCTTCTCGAGGATCCATTCGCCGCCGCCGATACGGAAGACGCAGATCGAAGTGTTGTAGAGCTTCCCGCGCACCGGGCTGGTCGGGTCGGCGTGTATGCACAGCTCCTCCGTGCTGGCGCCATGGGTGACCACGATCACCCGCTCCCCTGTCAACGCAGCACAAGTAAAACAGAAATCAGATCTTCCTTTCTTCTCAGCGGCAACTGTTCCGATGCCCAGGGACAAAATCTGTGGTGTCAGGGTGAGGATTGCTGCTTACCCTTGTGCTTCTCAGCTACCGTGTTCAGGTACGAGACACACCTCTTGGATAGCTGATCGAGGCTCTCCCCACCACCCTACAAAGATGGAGAATGCGATGGAACAGATATTTCGACGCGATGCCAGGATAATTTCCATGCGAGAAATGGCAGAACAGAGCAGAATAGCTGAGAAAATTCAGACGGAAGCATGGAAGTTACGGGGATTTCATGGGTCCTCGAGTAAGAAGAGAAGATCTCAGGGCTCCTTCTGACGGCGTCGTCGAATACCACGCCGTGGAGATCCCCCATGTGCCTCTCCCTCAGCGCTGGATCCAGCACCAGCTGAAACCAAGCAGCTCATGTCATGAGCCGATCAAGAAAAGCATCCATGGACTCAGCAATCAGCAACTAGCTGAGATGGAACGCCAGCCACATACGTACAGAGGATACGCCGCAGGCTGTGGCTATGGTTTGCGCGGTCTCGGCGGCGCGCTTGAGGTCGGAGGAGTAGACGGCAGCTGGCTTGGCTTCCCTCGACAGCCGACGGGCAACCTTAGGATCCAAATTCAGAGAGAGGTCCTGATAAGTGATCAAGTATTTTGCTATCGGAGTATTTCTGTCGAGACTCGAGAGCGTACGTACCACGAGAGCCTGTCGTCTGCCGGTCTCGTTCAGCTCCGGATCCATCTGCCCCTGCGAGCACGAGATTTGGGGAGACGGCTCTCTGTCAGCCGGAGAAGATCGATGGTGGAGGAGGTAAGTGGACAGACCTGGATGGTGCGGGAGGCGTTCCACGACGTCTCGCCGTGTCGCACCACCACCACCTCCGCGAACTGCTCGCCTGGCGGCGGCGAAGCAGGCGGAAACGTCGCTGCTCGACCGGCCATGGTTGGTGGCGTACTCTCCCTTACATGCAGCAGCGAGACGAGTAGAAGGATATAGTATCGCCGGGGTTCGTTGCGGACTGGCTTGCAGCTTCCAGGAAAGAAGCCAGTATCCGTTGCGTCACATTGCTCTGTCCTTTATCAACATTTTATACTGCAAGTCTCGCCGGACTCGCGTGCTCTTATTCTAATGAAGGTACTCTCCACCTCGGTGAGGACAACAACAATGGATGAGACAACGCACACGCCTTAATTAGTGTGATGTGCCTGTTGAATGAAATATGTTGCACCTCCTCAGGTCCACATGACAGCGTTCAGGTGATGGAGATAAGCTTCGGCTGAGGAGTCCAAACCGCATAGACTAGGATCTCTAGTTAGTTGCCATATGGTTATAATCTTCTCCAACTACTTCTATCTCTTTCTCTTCAAGTCTCCTGTAATCTGAACGATCTTGTACGCTATACCAGGAATCGCGCCCTGGCTATATAAACACGCAGCCGTCGCCCCGGAAGGGTACGACGTTCCTCCACATGGTATACAGAGCCTGACTCTTCTCATCTAGCCCTCCTCTCCACCACAACCTCCTGCCATGGCCTCATCCGCCGCCGCTTCCTCCCCTCTCTCCGGCCAGATCACCGAGCGCCTCACCCGCACCAACTACGTCCTATGGCGCACCCAGATCACGCCGCAGTTGAGAGGAGCTGGAGTCTTCGGGTACGTTGATGGAAGCATGGCGGAGCCGGCCGAGTTCGTCGTCAGCAAGGACAAGGATGGAAAGGAGGAAACCATCCCCAATCCTCTTCATGCCGTCTGGTTTCGAGAGGACCAGCATGTACTTGGGTATCTTCTGAATAACCTATCAAAAGAAGTGCTAGTGCAGGTGACCTCCATCGCGCATGCACGAGAGCTCTGGACAGCGTTGGCGAGCATGTTCTCGTCGACGTCGCTGTCCCGCATCAACAACATCCGTGCTGCCCTCACCAACGCGCAAAAGGGGACGCGGTCGGTGGCTACCTTCTTCGCGCACATGCGGGGACTCGCCGACGAGCTCGCCGCGGCTAGCAAGCCGCTGCAGGATGGTGAGCTCATCTCCTACATCCTCAATGCGCTTGACATGGAGCACCAGCCGCTGGTGTCTGCTCTTGACGCCAGAACCACTCCGGTCACCCTCGACGAGTTGTTCGGGCAGATGAGCAACTTTGATCAGAGGGTGACTCTGCTCCAAGGCGTGGGCAGCGGATTCAAGTCATCTGCCAACATCGCCACCCGCGGCCGAAGCGGGGGCTCTCGTTACTGTGGGCCACCACGGAACGGCAAGGGCAGGGGCGCCAGCAGCGGCGCCAACAACAACATGTGTGGCGGCCGGCCTTCCTCCTCCAACAACAGAGGCCGGCGCAATAGAAGCTCCAACAACAGATCGCGCCCTGACACGATCAGGTGCCAAATCCGTGGCAAGCTGGGTCACTCGGCAAAGGACTGCTGGTATCGCTTTGAGGAAGATGAAGATGATTCATCCCAGGATGAGAAGGTGGCCGGAGCTGCTGATGGCTCCTACGGCGTCGACACCAACTGGTACGTCGATAGCGGCGCCACGAACCACATCACCGGTGAGCTGGAGAAGGTGACCATGCGCGAGAAATACCGTGGCAAAGATCACATCCACACAGCAAGTGGAGAAGGTATGAAAATTAGTCACGTTGGTCACTCAGTTGTTAAAACCCCTCATCAGCATATCCATCTTAGAATTTTTTTTGCATGTCCCTAGCGCTTCAAAAAGTCTTCTTTCAGTCCATCGCATTGCTATTGACAATCATGTCTTTCTTGAGTTTCACCCTTTACTTCTTTTTGATCAAGGATCAGGCAACGAAGAAGGTGCTCTATCGAGGTAGATGCGTTCGTGGGTTTTACCCTTTGATCCCGGAGATTAGAAGACTCAATAAACAAGTGTTTAGTGCCACCAAAGTGTCTTCAACACGATGGCACGATCGTCTAGGACATGCATCTTTTTCTTTAGTTGAGCGTTTGCTTAGGAAAAATAAGCTCCCATATGTTGGAGAGCGTGATGTTGAAACAGTTTGTGATTCATGTCAAAAGGCTAAAAGCCACCAGTTACCCTATCCAGTTTCTACCAGTATCTCTACCAAGCATTTGCAACTTGTTTTCTCTGATGTGTGGGGGTCTGCCCCCTCCTCTATTGGTAGACACACGTATTATGTGAGTTTCATTGACAACTATAGCAAATTTTCCTGGATTTATCTTCTTAAGAAGCGATCCGATGTGTTTCAAGTTTTTCTCAACTTTCAAGCTCTTGTTGAACGCCAATTTGATTGCAAAATTCTTGCTCTCCAATCTGACTGGGGTGGAGAGTACGAGAAGTTGAACTCTTTTTTTTCAGAAAATTGGCATATCTCATCATGTATCTTGTCCACACGCTCACCAGCAAAACGGGTCTGCTGAACGCAAACACAGACACATAGTTGAAGTTGGTCTAGCACTGTTGGCTGGTGCCTCCATGCCCCTTAAGTTTTGGGACGAGGCTTTTCTTGCGGCTGTTCACATCATCAACATGCTACCTAGTCGTGTAATCAACTATGAAACTCCTATTGAGCGTCTTCTCCACACTAAACCGGACTATACCACTTTCCGTGTGTTCGGTTGTGCTTGTTGGCCCAACCTTCGTCCCTACAATTCTCGAAAGCTCATGTTTCGATCTAAACAGTGTGTTTTCCTTGGCTATAGCGCTCAACACAAAGGTGTCAAGTGCCTTGATATTTCTACTGGTCACATCTACATCTCTCGAGACGTTGTTTTTGTTGAGACTAAATTTCCCTTTTCTGATCTTCACCCAAATGCCGGAGCTCTCCTTCGCAAAGAGATACTTCTCTTGCCCTCTAGCCTCACTGGCATCACACAAGGGGAAAATAATTGTAGTGACTCAATGCTGACTAATGCTCATAACCACGTCTCTGAGTTGTGTGATGATGCAGATGATGATAGCTGTGAAGAAACAGGTGCAGAAATCAGCAAAAATGGTGCAGAAATCGCCCCCAACACGACACATTTTATGTGTCCTGAGTTGGGGAGAAGATCCTCCTCAGGATCGATTCCCCTGCAGCCTGCCAGCGGATCGACCTTGGGATCTGGCCCGCACCAGGACGGCAGCGTGCGGGATTCCGTGTCACCTGTCCGTCGCGGATCCCCATCCGCCACGAGGCGCCCCGCTCCTGGCCCGGATGCTCCCTCCGGCCCGCACCACTCGGACGCCCCCACGCGGTGCACCGAGACCCGCTGGGCCACTGCTGGGCCCCTCCACTACGAGCACCGTCCGCCGACCGGGGCGCAGGCTCGTCTGGTGCCAGGCGCGGGCGCGGACGCGGGCACCAATACCGATCCTGGCGCGCGATCCGGCTCGGATTCGGCTGGGCCCCCTCATCATCGCGGCATGATGGGCCTGCGATGGATTTGTCCCGCAGCCTCGGATCTTCTGCGCCGCGTTCTACCTCGACCCTCACGCCTCACGCTCCATATGCCACAGACAATCCGTCTGGCTTGGATGCAGACGAGGCGGTCAGTGCAGGGGGATCTATCTCGGGATCTGCTGCTCTTGTCCCATCCGCAGCGGGATTTCCTGCGCCGGATCTCTCTGCTGCACCTCCTGTTGCCACGCACATGTCTCCAAAAATGTTTAACTAAACTGGTTAATTATAAGCAAATAACAAAGTTTGGTCTTGCCTGCTCCACAGATGGTGAACCACGTTCTCTTGGGGAGGCACTCAGTGATACAAAGTGGAAAAAGGCCATGGAAGAAGAACACATGGCCCTTCTGAAAAATAAAACATCGCACTTGATTCCTCCACGGCAAGGTAAAAATTTGATCGATTGGAAGTGGGTTTTCATAGTAAAGAGGAAATCTGATGGAACTGTAGATCGCTACAAAGCCAGACTAGTTGCAAAAGGGTTTAAACAACGGTACGACAGTGACTACGAGGACACCTTTAGTCCTGTTGTTAAAGCTGCAACTATTCATCTTGTGCTCTCTATTGCTGTTTCCAGGGGATGGAGTCTTCGTCAGCTAGATGTCAAGAATGCGTTCCTTCATGGCGTTCTGGAAGAGGAAGTATATATGAAACAACCTCCTAGGTTTGAAAACAAAAACAAGCCTTTTCATGTAGGCAAGCTTGACAAAGCTCTATATGGATTGAAGCAAGCTCCCAGGGCCTGGTATTCTAGACTCAGTCAGAAATTACAAGCTCTTGGTTTTGTTCCTTCTAAGTCTGACACATCTTTGTTCATTTACAATAAGCTGAAAACATCAATATTTGTTCTTATATATGTTGATGATATTATAGTCACAAGTTCATCTGATGAAGCCATATCAGGACTGCTGAAGGATTTGAGTGCTGAGTTTGCCCTCAAGGATCTAGGAGATTTGCATTTCTTCCTAGGAATTGAGGTCAAGAAACAAGGAGATAGTCTGCATCTCTCTCAAGAGAAGTATGTTGTTGATCTGGTAAGAAGAGTTGGGTTACAAGGATGCAAACCTTCACCAACACCGCTATCTAGCACGGAAAAACTGTCACTTGCAGAAGGGGAACCTCTGAGTCATGATGACAGTACCAGGTACAGAAGCTTGGTAGGAGCACTCTAATACTTTACTTTGACACGGCCTGATATTTCCTTTGCTGTGAACAAAGTTTGTCAGTTCCTTCATGCACCCACTAAAAATCATTGGACTGCTGCTAAACGTATTGTGAGATATGTGAAAGATACCATGAATCTTGGACTTATTTTTACTAAGTCTTCATCCACACTTGTTAGTGCATTCTCTGATTCTGACTGGGCAGGATGTGTAGATGACAGACGCTCCACTGGTGGGTTTGCAGTATTTCTTGGTCCAAACTTGATATCATGGTGTGCAAAGAAACAAGCCACAGTGTCACGTTCCAGCACAGAAGCTGAATACAAGGCCTTAGCCAATGCCACAGCAGAGATCATTTGGGTTC